GGCAGCCCCAGCACCTCCTCCAGGACCACCCAAGTTGTTTATGAGCAAAGTGACCACCATATCTGGAGCATCAATGTTTCCAAGGGAAACCAGCTGCTCCAGACTTCTCTTGATGAGCCAATTCCCAAAACTCACCATTCTTCCCACCAGAGCCTCAAACTGTGGGTACTTGGAACAATTCCTCCCATTTTTACCTCTTAGAATTGCAGTCTCTAACTTTGGTATAAACAAGACACTTGTTAAAAGGCATATTTCTGACTCCCTTCCCCAGAGCATCCAATTAAGAAGGGAGCCCCAAATCTACATTAAAAAAAAAAAAAAGCTCTCCACATATTTCTGGTGCTGAAGTGTACAAACATTATTGACATTAAACAGCCTTATATACCATGGCTTCCAGCATGAAAATGGATGATTATGCAAGTCAGTTGAAGTAAATTTTGCCACCATTTCTTACCAATGTTTGAAGGTAGAAGACTTTGCTGTGTGGATTGCTTTCATCAATATGACACAGTGATCAAACTGGAAAAACCTTCAGCTCTTCAAGTCTTTCTTCCTAGGATTTCCAAATATATCTAGCAAAGAAGAGTGGTCATGTACAAAGTCATACAGAAAGCACCAGAAGCATATACACAAATGTATTAGTTGGTATATTCTGTGGATCACCCAAACAGTAAAGTCTTAAAGATCTAAATTCTTCATCTTAGATCAAGAAACTGGAACCTTAAAAAAAAAAGGGTTCTGCCCCAAAACATACAGATAGTTGGAAAGCTGATGTTCTTTCACCTCTGTGGAAGTTGATCCTGGGCTGTGTCCTGAATTGTCAGTAATTCATGGGTGCTATGGAGAAGCAACCATGTGTCCAACACCAGGCTGGACGAGTTAAAAATCACTGCCAGGGTCAGTTCCTGCTCACACATCATTTCAGATTTGTGGTCCCCAAAGTATTCTAAGAGTCAAGAGTAAGAAGAACCATCTAGGGAAACCCTTGCTTTAAATAAACCCTGCAACATAGTAAGAATAATAACCCTTCTTGCAGAAGATATGTTTAAGATTTAGTCAATATATAGTATAAAGTTTGAACAGTAAAGATGAAAAATAATTACTGGAGGAAAGGAGAGGTTGTTACTCTTGAATATTGACCAGATGACTTGGCCAAAGTTATATACAGTGAATTTGAAAGAGGTATGAAGAGAACACCTGTGTCCTAAATTTGTGATATACAACATAATTTCAGCCATGCTGCCTCCCAAACAAATCTTCCCTCTTATTGATTTATAGTCACATGTTCCAAGAAAATGGGATCAAAAGTCTGAAAGTGTACGACTAATCTAAATTTTATTAGAATTCAAGGTGGGAGTTAAAAGTATGAAAGACAATTAGAAGCCTGGCTTAGGGTGCATATGTAGGAAACACATGTATACAATTGTCAACACGTCTTAATGAATGCGAGTCACATTGGAAATCTGATTCCAATAGTTTTGTATTTAATGAGCCAAGATCTGAATAGGATTATATCCTCTCTGAGAACAAAGCAGTAGTTATTTCTTGGACTTTACTTAGGGGAACAGCATTTGCATTGTTCAATCACAGGCAAGTTACAGGCCTGGTGTTCAGGATAGGACTTGAAAGCACCTAACATATGCTATGTGATGTGCTGCTCTATGTACTAAGCAGCAAAGCAGCAATAGAAGGTAATTTGGGAGGAATCCATCACACTTCATTTGGAAACCAGAGTTATAGCTAATGGAGCTGAGGTTAACGGCTTATATTTGCATGTGTTCCTACATTTTTTTTTTACGTAGCTTTTGCACTGAAAATAAAAATAGACATAATACCTGATTCATAACTCAGGTAAATAAAACTTACCACATTCAAAGAGGCCCAGAACATGTTTTATTTATGTGACAAGCTAGTCACCTGGGCTCCTAATTTTTAGTGACTCCAGAGAATGGCCTTTGGAAATAGGCACCTAATGTTACAAGTAAGGATTTTCATGTAATAGTCACATAAATGGGCTGTTGAAAAGATACAGAAGAGAAGAAATTGCTGCAGACCTGGTATGCTCTCCATTTCATCCACTGATTTGGATGTTCAAGGCCCCTGGAAGTAGTAATCTTTGTCTTTATACATCCCTTTTTTCTGGGGCAGAGGCAGAGGTTGCCGTTTGGAAAGTAACTGGGTTATAAGTGGAGAAAGGGCACTCAGGAAGTACATTGTGTGCCATGACCATGGGCCAGGGGCAGTATACAGGTTTGTGCTATGGAAGAGTCAGGTAACTTGTCCCTGCAGCAGGAGGAGGAAATCTCCCTTCCCCACCAGCTGCCCCACCTAATGTGCCATCTGCACCAGCAGCCAGTGCTAGCAGCCACTTCACCTCAGAACGGTGCCTCAGGTGTTCCTCACAGCAGCAGAGCAATAAATTTCTTTCTCTGCCTTGGTCTCTTGTTCCTTTGCTCTGCTGCCTGTCCTTGAAGAAGAAAAGCAAAATGACTTCATTTTTTGTGAGGCTGCTGCTGCAGCAGAACCTAATAACTCTTAATAATGAAATGCAAGTGTCCATTAAGATTCGTCTGGCTTTGCTCTTACTCACCAGTCTCTGTGACAATCCTGATTGGGCTGCAATGTGTGATCATTGATGCACAAAGCAGTACAGATTTGGGAGGTTAGATTAGCAAACTGCCTATACCTTCTTCAGTCTTTGCTCGCCCCCTCCCCCCACTACCCCCACAGGAAAAAAGCCATTTGATGAGAACCTGCTTCAAAGTTCCTGAGTGAATGGAGAAAAGAAATTTTTAGCCTTTCTGGGAAAGGCAATGTGGTGTCAACTGAGAATAGTCTCTGCAATCAAACAGAAAATTCTCATTCTGCTGACCAATACCCTGAACTAATGCAAAATATCACAATGTCAGTTTCCAAAATTATAAAAAGGTAAACATCTAGTTCACAAGGACTGTGAAACAGCTGAATGAGAATGTACGTGTAACTTGTGTAGCACAGTGCCTGACATGAAATAAGCAATATTTGCTTTCATTTCTTTCTTTTGTTCTTTTTTCTTGGTGGTATTGGGGTTTGAACTCACAGCCTTGTGCTTGCTATGCAGGTGTTCCTATACTTGAACCACACCTCCAGTCCTTATTTGGCTGAATGTAGTAAAAATATTATGTACTCGTGTATGAAAATGGAAAAATGAGACCTGCTGAAACTAATCTAAGAAGAGTGGGGAGGAGGGATAAAGAATGATGGGGGGGTTGAATTTAACTAAGCTATATTGTAGGCACTTTTGTAAATGTCACCCCCACTACAACAATAATATAATTTAAAAGAAGAAGAAAAGAAAGAGAAACAAAATCTGCCACCGATCACACAGACTGATCAGAATCAATGAGACAGGTCTTCCAGGCTGACCAACTCCCTTTCAGAAAGTATGTGATACCGCAGGTGCACTCGCTCTGATCAGCCTGAATAACCTTCTTACCCATCATAAAGCAGAGAATCTACTGGCTGGTATAAACTTGTATGCTTTGTGTATTGTACCCATTGGAGGTTTAGAGAGTAAGGATGGTGGCAACAGAATAGCAGAGGAGAGAAATTAACCCAAGTATTACATGAACTACCTTCCTGCTCAGAGCATCCTAGGGTCTCAGGAAGACCAGAGGAGATGATAGAGCACCTTGTAGTCCTATACTGGCTTTGTAAATATGAGTTCCATTTGACATTTTTAACATCTACAAGCCCATTGTGCAAGGTAGTTTGCAAAGATAACTGGAAAGACTTTGCTGTCAAAAACTAGGCATCATATAAACAAGAAATTGAGCATCTTTCAAGTTCTGTGTACTTAATAAACAGAACTATTTCAAATCTCATCCTAACTTTTAAATGAATCCAAACCACTCTATTTACATTGTCTTTCCAAAACAACCCAAGAGCTACTCTTACCAAGAAGCATGAAAAGCATTTTATGTAGAACATTTCAACTTAACAACAGCAGGTAATGCTATCCCCAATTCATGGATTAGGAATTGAGGCCCAGTCAGTTGTAAAGACAGCATTTGAAATCTCTGTGCTCTACTTGTCAAGAAGTATAAGTTAGTGTTGTTATACCCCCCTGTGGTGAACCATGACTTTTCCATCCTCACAAGACACATTCAGGATTATTGGTAAACAAATAGCTTTGAGGAGAGTCATTGATACCTGTGGCACAGGGAAAGGCAAGACAGCACAATGGGCAAGTAGAAGCCTTGAAGACAGGCGGCTGGAACTCAAGCCCTACTGTGGCTTCCTCCAAGCTGTGTGATGTTGTACCCACAATTTATCATCTCAAGCCTAGTTTTCTCACCTCATAGATTCATCATCTCAATCAATGTGGTAATGTAGGAGAACCAGCTTTCATATTAGTAAGGCTCTAGGTAAAGGTCAGCTGTTTAATATATAGAGTCTGATTCTTTTCAAAGATGCTGTATCTATTGACTTGTGCTTGAATTGTTAGAAATCTCCCCTGACACTTTAATTTTCTCATCTAGAAACAAGAGCTGCTGATACAGCATCTTTTAGTAATGGCTTCAAGCTGCTCTTTTCAACCTATAGTGACCTAGAATCTTTTGAGCTGTTGTTAAAAAGATTCCTGGACCCCAAGGATTATGACCTGGCACAGCTGGATGATCCTTGTAATAGGCAGTCTTTACGAGGGTCCCACTGGATTCTGACGTAGCAGGGCTGTGATTACTGTCTGAAAAATGCTACCCTGCTAGCTCAGCATACAAAGAAGCTGACTAACATCACTCTCTCTGGAACACAACTAGCACCAATCTCTTGGCGTCTAATAGATAGATCCTGTTCTTTTGACCATATTATTGACTCAAAGGAACATGGAAGGCCACGCTGGGTCACTGGTTTATATCCAGGGTTTCATTCTACACTACACACCTGAAGCTCCCAGCACTCCATGAATACCTTTAGAAGGTTAATTGAATATTATTACCTTGTTTCTTCTTTCTCTGCAGACACATTTGCAAGCAAAGTGGCAGCCACCCAGGATCAGTATGCAGACGCATCCATAGGTAATGTCACCGGCAGCAACGCGGTGAATGTCTTCTTGGGAATCGGTGTGGCCTGGTCCATCGCTGCCATCTACCACGCAGCCAATGGGGAACAGTTCAAAGTGTCCCCTGGCACGCTTGCTTTCTCTGTCACTCTCTTCACCATTTTTGCTTTCATCAACGTGGGGGTGCTGCTGTATCGGCGGAGGCCAGAAATCGGAGGTGAGCTGGGTGGGCCCCGGACTGCCAAGCTCCTCACATCCTGCCTCTTTGTGCTCCTGTGGCTCTTGTACATTTTCTTCTCCTCTCTGGAGGCCTACTGCCACATAAAAGGCTTCTAAAGGAACAATCAGATATAGTAAATTTATATATATACATATATATACATAAAAATTATGTACAATGAACAGAGGAAACTGGCATTCGTCATGTTCACTTACCTGCTGAGGGAATCCAGCTTCAAGAGCGTACTCTGTACTGGGGCTGAGGTCAGAAACCATCACGTCCCATTCCCAGGGCATCGTCATCCTGTTGAACAAGGCATGGAGACAGGGCCACCCTGCAGCTCAGCCTAGAAGGCTGAACTCTCTCCAGGTTCATAAATGGCTAAGGCTTTTTGTTCCCTTGTTTTTTACTTTGTTTTCAGTGGGATTGGGGAGGTAGCTTGTATTTGACTTTTATTTTTGTTTTGTTTTGCTTTGTTTTGCTGAGAGGGTCAGAGGTTTTGTTTCTCTTTCTGGGACTTATCCAAAGGTAAATATGCTTGGGGTAAAAAAAAAAATGATATTATTAAGATTTTCCTCCCCTCCTCCAAACACTTTAAAAGTTACTTTGAATTAAAAAGGATCTGGGCATGGAAGAAGAAAGAAGCACTCATCACTTTATTACCAAATTTCATGCTTATCTCTGGAAAGCAAACAGGTGAAGCTGGCTCCAGAAGAAGTCTGAGAGCTGGAATGGAACCAGAAAGTGATGGTTCTAGAGTCTGCTGATATTTAAGAATATGGTGCCTGGCACACTTGTTCAACAGGTACAGGGATAATGTGCCTAGATTCCCAGGAACATGTAAACCCCTTTTTGTCTTATCTCTTTAGCTCTAGTCTGTGATTAGCAAGACCCTTATTCATTCCAGCCCAGCTAACTTCCCAGTGTCCCATTCCCACCCTCCTCCTGCCCACCCCACCTCCATGCAAACAGGAAAGATAATCCCATTCAAAAAAAAAACATCATCCTTTTCCATTTGCATCAATATGTGTCCCGGTCCCATGTTGCTGTTGCCTGGGATTGTCCATCAGTTTTATTTTCAAAGGCATCCATGGCTTTCACAATCTTGTTTCCAGTCATGACTGAACATTTGCTCCTACTTCATGTGCCTGTTGGGAATGTTGTTGTGATACCCGTTACACAGTGCATGGATGAAAAACAAATAAAACAAAAAAGTGTATCTGTATATAGTAGAGTATAGCAAATACTGTTCTCCCATTCAGCAGTGTTGATTGGATAGTGAAGACATAAGTGAGTTTTCTTTTCACATGAGTTGTTATGTTTGTGTTGTTACTGATTTTGGTTATTACTAGGGGAAAAACAGAAGAAGAAAATGGCTTATTGTTCATGAATCTGCACATTCATTTCCAAGAAGCAATAACTGTCATATGGGGAGAAGATATTGAGAGGATAGCAGGCAAACTACAAAGATCTCCATGGGATATTAGCCATGTGGAACACATCAGAGGGCCCTAAGAATCACACAATAATTCAGGAAGGCCAAAGAGAAAGGTGCTGGAGAAAAGATGTGTTAGATGTGCCTGGACTTTCAGAGCCACCATTTTCACACCATCCCCTCCCCAGAGTATTTATTGCACATCTGCTCTGTCTGGCACAGATGATAGATAGTGCTGGTATGTTCGTTTTATTTTTTTTAATGTAAAAAGTTATTTTGAGCTCTGTTTCTTTCACCATCCAGTCCAGAGTCTTCTGAATTTATCAGCCCTTCCTGAGTAGGAAAGAAGCCAATGTGACCAATGGGCCTTTAAAAGTATGTCTCCTCTACGTATGACTAAAAAGAAGGCAATTCAATAAGATTAGTCCCTCCCTGAAGGATTGCACAAGGCAGTTTAACCCTTTAAAAGGAATGGCTCTTTCTATTTTAAAATACCAAAGAGCATGAATAACCAACATTCCAAAGTAGCAATTCCACTAATGAGGAAAAATGGAATGACTTTGCTCATCTCTCAGACTTCTAGGTCTCTAAGGAATCCCAGGGTGGAGGCATTTCTGGCCCTCTGTATTGATTCAAAGATAACTTCAGAGATAAATGCTATTGAGATTTATTTTTTCTTTGCCACTCAGTAATCATGACCAGTCTTCATGTAATAAATATTTGATGATCAAGTGAACAATTAAATTTGCTGGTTGCCCATTCAATACGCCAGGTAGTATGCATGCTACCTCCTAGTGACTGAACCATGGTTCAGACAGCCCAGATTCCTATCCTATGGGAGCTATATAGTGATGTGATTGCTATGTTCATGAGTTAACACAGCCATATTCAAACAGTTTTATCTTACAAGGAAAAACACAATTATGAAACTCTTTCAACATCAACACACTAAAACTATAAAAATACAATTGCCTAAATACCCAAGATTTTCTATAAGAGAACGTAAGAGTTAGATTTGGAAAAGCACCCTCTTTATCCTTGGCCCACTTGCAAAAACACACATTTCTCACTTTAAACCAAGAAGGCAATCATGTTGGTGATCTAGATAACTGAAAAGACCCATTCAATCCAAGTTTTATGTTTGTGGTAACAGTACTTTTCTGTGACCCACTCCTGACCTATCACAGTCCCCAACACTGGTGACTTCTTTAGAGACACATTCTAACCCATCCTTTTTTGAGATTTAGGAAAATGAAAAGTTAGCCTAGAAACACCAAGTAAATATAGTTAAAGGACATAAGTTGTTGAAATATTAGAAAGATCTTGCACTCATTTTTTAGCCATATTTGAAATGTCAATGATCCTGTAGTGAATTTTCACGGAGGAGTTTAAGAAATTCTTGCTGTTGGTCAATTTCATTTTCAAAGCTTTTTGTTTTGTTCGCCTTTTCTATTGTCATGCCATAGGGAAAATATGATTCTAGTTGTTCAGGGGTGTTATTAATTATTATAGTTGTGTAAAATTATTTCATTTTATTTGTTTGATTATTTTATTTTGTGTGTATTGTGCACAGCTTTAGGGGGAAGTGCACTAATTGTGCTGTTCCTTATAAATGGTACACATTATTGACACAGAAAAATAAAGTTTCTAATTGTTTCTGATTTAATCACTAGCGATACAGCATATTCTGTACTATGGAATGTTTTCTCTCTTCTCATTGTCATCTACTTCTTTTTTTTTTGTTTGTTTTCATGTTTTGAAGAAATAAAGACCAAAAAGGCATTATTGTGCAATTTGGTATCCTCATCCAAATGAAAGAAAGTAGACACCCAGTGTTCAAACTCCTGCAAATGCCAGACCTTTGGTCATGCAGTGTTTTCTTTTTAATCCCAAGAGAGCACAGAGTCAGAATATTTGTCTGTCCTTCAATGCCCTGATTAATGGACATGCCACTAATTTTTTTGCACCCTTTAGTACAATCCTGTCTTCATTCTTTCTGCATCCAAGAGGATGAACTTGTATACAGTTACACGTCAAGCAACATTTTATCATGCAATGCTATTTTATCAAATCATTCAATCCAAATTAAGCTGATCATTAGAAATATAGTTACTTCCCAAGGGACACTTAGGTAAATTGCTCTTTTATGCTACATTCTTTTTGATTCTCAGTAGAATTTCTGCCTTGTCTTAACAATTTCTGACTGCCTAAATTATATGTTATTGAATTCATATCTCGTACAATCAAAATAGCATAGGTAGAGGTGATACCAGAAATGAAATTTACTGTAAAGGATAAGTCTGTGCACTAGGTACATGTAAATGATACTTTATTCATCTGAATCTCTTTCAGTTCTTCCACTGAACTCCTCATTGTTTCATTATATGGTTATGTGTGAAGGAAATAAGGTCTGATTCAAATTTTTCTTGAATTAAACTGTGGATATGCCTGCAGTGTACCAATCTTTGGTTTAACTCAAAATTAGCAGCCAGTATTTATTTCGTAAGCAAAGAGCAAAATGACTAGTTCAATGCCCAGAGCACCTCTCACATTTAACCCTTCAGAAGACTCCGTGACTCAATGAGTCTCAACTTCTTATGAGCAAATGTTAATTTATTCAAAGATTCTGATTTAGTCCTTCCACCAGTGAAGATTTTATAGGATTTTGCTTTCTGTAGTTTTGTTGTTCCTTTGTAAATATAAAATTAAAATATAAAATATGCTGCTTGAAACAAACCTGCAGAGATTGGTATGTGACTGTCCTGTAATGCAGCACCCTCTCCCTGCCACTCTGCCTTTTCCACACTAGACTTATCCATTGGTGATTTCACAGCTCAAGGCCGAATAAAGTGAGATTGTTCAGCACACATCTGAGAGCTTTGTAGAAGAAATTAGAAATTTTTCTCTGATAGACAATGAAGCCCTCCATTTTCTAACAGTGACAAAACTTCCCCTTTTCAATAATAACATCTGCCCCATTAAGACTTCTTTCAGTGTTTCTGGGCTAGACTGTAATCTCTCTTGATTTTGATTTTCTATCTCTGATTTTGGACAGCTCTATCCAGAGCAAGTCATGAGTGTAATTTCATGACTTCAAGAACATTTCATGGTTGACAGTGTACAATACTGAAACTCATCCTGACTTAGAACTGGCATTCAGCTTTCATTTTAATAATCGTTTAACTTGGCCAAGGCATTTCTAGCTGTTGGTAAACTTGAGCAAAGATCAATATGAATTTCAATTGGTAAAAAAGTGTATTATGCAAAAGAGACACATACAAAATCATATTTGTCATACAGAGAAAGACACATGCTGCTATGAATGGATTTTTGTTAATGCATTGGATTTCTGCTGTTCTTTTCTAGCATTATGTACTTATCACTTCTTGTCATATTCATTGTCTTCATATCACCAGCACATTTCAAATGTCAGGCGTCCTGATGGCATTCTACCTTGAAGGATATCATGGAGAGGGTAAACAACTGAAATAGTCAGGTATTTCATTTTTTAAAGCTTAATCAGGCTGTGACTAATCATCTCCCAAAGTGGAGAATGTCCTCTCTGTAGAAGAAGCAACCACTGAGAAGTGGGACTCTCAAAGCAGTGTTTCAGCTTTCCAGCTCACAAGAAATGGTAAGTATTCCACTTTCTGTGACTTTTCCTCAACCTGTCTAGACATCCAGAAAGATGCACTCAGAGTGCACTCAGAGGACTCAAAGGTCCTCTGATTTGATCTTCTAACGGGCATCTAAATCAATGGTCATGTAAATCTTTGTTTACTTTGATTTATTTATTTTTAAGAAAGAACATTACTTCATAATTTTATCTGTCTTTTCCCTGTTGTCAAACTTCATAGCTCTTCTATTGGTCACTCACATTAAATTCAATTGCCTCAGTGATGCTTATGTGGAAAAGGTGCATGCTAAAAGTGATTGTTCATGGCATGTTTTTCTGAAAGTGAAGCCGATTTCCCAGACTTTCCAAATGGAAAAAACAATTCTATTAAATAACCAAATATGCAACCACTTTTCAAGATATTTGACCTAAAAAACAAAGAATAAACTAGCCCGGCACCGCTGTCTCATACCTGTAATTTTAGCTACTCAGAAGGCAGAGATCAGGAGGATCGTGGTTCACAGTCAGTCTGAGCAAATAGTTTGTGAAACCCTATATCAAAAAGAAAGAGATGGTGGAGTGGCTCAAGGCGTAGGCCCTGAGTTCAAGCCCCAGTACCTCAAA